ACTGACTTGGCTCGGCCTTTGCCTTAGGAGACTCTGGCTGGTCCTGACCTTGTGGTCTCCCCTTCCTGTCTCCTTAAGTAGTAACCAAGCCTCCCCACCCAGCTGTTGTCCTGTCCTGTCTGGAGCATGGCCAGTGATTAGGCAGAGGCCAGGCCACATTCCCAAGGTGGAATTTGTCTATATGGAGACCATAGAATAATGCCTGAGTATGCGCAGTCCAACAGAGGGACGGCGAGATTCAGCAGTTAAAGTTGAGGCGAGGGGAACTGCCCACTGGAGATGACTTTCACAGTTTCACTGGAGAGTCAGCCCCCAGCCGTTCAGATCCTGGTTTGGCTTCTGTTTTCAGCATGAATCCCTTCCCCCTGAGTCAGGATCACAGGCCTCTCTTGCAACTTTCATAGCACTGACCACAAGCCTAGGATCAGAGAATGCCAGAGCTGGACAGGAGGTGGGGTGGGATGGGGGTGGGTGCTTAGAACATGGAATGCCAGAGCTAGAGGTGCCTTAGAACAGGAAATGTCAGAGCTAGAAGTGCCCAAGAACATGAGACGTAAGAGCTGCAGGAGACCTTAAAAAAAAAGAGCTGGGGTGTGGGGGGGTGAGCCTTAGAACCTGGGATGCCAGAGTCGAGGGGGCTTTAGGACATGGAATATTAGGTGTGGGTCAGGGAACGACCAGCACGGGGATTAGCTTGAGAGCTCACGCCAAGTGGTAGACGGTGTGAGGGGCCCGAGCATTCTAGGCCTGAGGAACAGTCAGTAAAGACAAGAGAGGGTGGTGGGGTCGGGCCAGATAGCTGGATTATGGAGGTGAGTGGGAAGGTAGGAAGGGCCGGGGTCAGAGGAGCTTTAAATGCACAACTTTCTGTTGGATCCTGGGAGGGAGGGGGAGCCATGGGTGTTCATGGAGTTGGCAGGTTTGTGGTAGGTCAGACGATTCCTTTGACACGGAAGTGGACAATGCAGGGGCCTGTGGCAAGAGTCCAGTTGTAAGGTGAGAGCTGCCCCAGGGTGGTGGTCCTGGGAAAGGAGAGAAGGGAGGGAGACCTGGGGAGGTAGAGATGACAAGACTGGACGAGACTGGACACAGCGTCAGTGTGAGGGAGGAGTTCAGGATGACGCTGAGGTCGAGAGCCTGGCTCTGAGGATGGTGGCTCCTGCGGCAGGAAGAGGGAAGGAGACCAAGTGTCGTTCTGGACTTCTTGAGCTGGAGATTCCAGTTCACTCCACCATGTCCCAAAGGCAGGTGGTGATTGTAGATTGTAACTCGGGAGAGAGAGTCGAGCTGGATGGGCAGTCTGAGAGTCACCAGCATAGAGATGTTCAGTGACCCCACAGGAGCTGAGGTCAGCAAGTGGCCCAAGGCAGAGTCTGTGGGGAGAAGCCAATGAAAAAGAGCAAAGAAAAAGGAGAAGTCAAGCCCTGACCCCAGGCCCTGCCTCGGATTTTAGCTACAAAACACCATTGCAACACAGGCAGTAGCCTGCCAAGAATGTTCACATATGCTGTTCTTGTGTGAATCTCACAATGGGCCTGGAGCGGGGCAGGGCACCGCAGGCATCAGTGGACGAGATCATTGTTCCAAGTAGAGGTCCCTTACCCAATCTGGCTCATGTAAAACTTTGGTATTATTTTTCAAGATTATAGCTACATTTTCCTCCTAAAGAAATCTTATTTTGGGGGCAGCTAGGTGGCTCAGTGGATAGAGCACTGGCCCTAGATTCAGGAGGACCTGAGTTCAAATCCAACCTCAGACACATCACTAGCTGTGCGACCTTGGGCAAGTCACTTAACCCCATTGCCTACCCCCCCCCAAAAAAGAAATCTTATTTTAGGAGTATGGTCTTTATTTGGACCCAAAAGATACATACAGGGCTTAGTAACCACCCTTCAGGGATCAGCAAATAGGTAGAATGTAAGCTCCTTGAGGGCAGGCGTCCCAGTGACTGGCACATTCCTTTTTGTGTTTCGGCCCTATGATTCTGGAGAGCTGGCAGTGAGGAAGCTTCTGTTACCTCCAGGTAGCAGCTCTCCACAATCTCTGGCCCAAGAGAGTTTTTGGGGCAGGGTCAGTGACTTGCCCCATCCAGTGCCCAGGGCCATCAACCAGGATGTGGCAGTGGCTGGATCTGAGCCCAGATCTTCCTGAGTTGGAGGCTGGGGAGTCTCTGCCCACCACCTGGTAGGTGCTTTATACATGTTCATGGAATGGCATTTTCTCATAGTAGGTCCTTTCTCCACCAATGCAGATTCTACCCCCTCCTTGCCATTCTTGATTGGACTTCTTGTGATATCCTAGATGACGAAAACTAAAAGTTTTGAGTATGCACAGTCGGACACAGTCGGGAAGTTGGGAGTAGTGCACCGAGGAGTAGATTTGGGTACACAATCTTGTGTACTAGTTGTGGGACATGGGCCTCAGTTTCCTTCTTTGTAAAATGACTAAATTTCCTTCCAGATCCCAAACCTTAGATTTTTGTGATCCCCAAAGTTCTCCCCTGGGAGATGGCCCATTAACTGAGCTTTAGCTGAGACCTAGGAAGGTGGGGAGAGAAGGAGGAAGTGCATTCCAGGCCTGGGAGGGACAGAGTAAAAAAAGTGTCTAGAGCCAGCCTTTGTCCCCTTTACCCACAATTCTGAGTGGTTTGTGTTTTATTCTAGAGCTGGGGTTCTTAGCCTGGGGTCCTAGAACTTGTTTTCTGAAATATTCTGATAGCTGTATGTCAGTAGAATTGTTGATCTTGCCGTGCTGTTTTTTATGCGTTTCATACATTTCACTGAAGGGGGCTGGGATGCAGAGGAAGAGCCCCCCTGCCCAGGAGGGAGCTGATACAGGCTCTGGAAAACGTCGAGGTGCTTAGACCTGCATTTAAGATATGGAGGTTATTTTGGTAGCTGCAAACAGCTGCACTGCCCAGGGTGAAAGGTGAACAGGGACTGCTCTCAGAGTGATGGCAACAGTGGAGGGAAAATGAGGGGACTGGGTCAGAGAGGGCTTTACCTGGATTCAGCCCTGCCTCCCAGTGCACAGAGCTCCAGGTGCGGCCACTCTCCCAGGCTGGCTGCCCTTTGCCAGCCAGAAGCTGCTTTGCATGAACAGGAGTTTCTGGTCGGGGAATTTCCCACACTGATCAAATTACAGGCCCACGCCCCAAAAAGGAACCAGTCATTGCAAAAGAGAAGTGGGCCCAGAGTGGGCGGGAAACGTGGAGGGACCAGAATCATGCTTCTGGTTGGGGAGATGGTGTGATGGAAAGGATGCTGGACTGGGGTTTGTGATTTGTGTGTAAGCTCTGCTTTCTCCTGAACCCATTCTCTGGGGTCCGTCATGGCTCGAAACGTCTTCTGAACGTCCTGATTAGGGAGACTGCATACAGGCCATGGTAGCTGAGCCGGCCTTGAAGGAGGCTGGACAGCTTCTAGCAGCTGGTGTTACAAGCAGAGGAGGAAGGGAGGGAGGGTGCGGCCAGCATCAAAAGAGGGGACGCTGGGAGCCAAGATGTGAAGGTGGGAGGGCAGTATTTAGACCGGTCACTCTAGTAGTGCCTGGAAGAGGTGGGATTTAAAACTTCCTGTGACACTCCCACCCACCCCCCAGCCCCAATCCTTCTCGAGACCTTTGTGAGTCTCCAGATTAGGGTTTTCAAGTGGTTGAATCTGGTTATGGAGACTCATAGGCTTTAGAGCTGAAGGTTAACCCCAATCCAACCTTTAATTTAAGGGTTTTTTTCTAATTACATGTTAAAAGTTTTTCATTCGTTTTTTAAAATTTTGAGTTTCAAATTCTCACCTTCCTTCCCCCCTCACTGACAAAGCAAGCAATTTGATATAAGTTATACATGTGCAGTCATTTAAAACATTTCCATGTTAGTCATATTGTGAAAGAAAACAGACCAAAAATACCCAAGACAAATGAAGAAAGCAAAAAATCAGTGTGCTTTGAGGTGCATTCAGACTCCAGCAGTTCTTTCTCTGGTGGCAGATAGCTTTTTTCATCCTAAATCTTTGGGGATTGTGTAGAATCATTGTATTGCTGAGAATAGCTGAGTCATTCACAGGTGATCATTGCTACAATGTTGCTGTTGCCTGAAGGGTGTTCTGGTTCTGCTCACTTCACTTTGCCTCAGTCATGTGATCTTTCCAGGTTTTTCTGAGAGCATCCTGTTTGTCATTTCTTATAGCACAGCGGTATACCATCACATCCTATACCACGGCTAGCTTTGACTTCTTCCTTTGAGACCTGCCTGTTCATCTCCTTTGACCATTTGTCAATTGGGGAATGGCTTGTATATAAATCTGACTCAGTTCTCTGTGTATTTGTTTGGCAAATGAGGCCTTTATCGGAGAAAATTGCTATAATTTTTTCCCCTCAGTTATCTGTTTTCCTTTTAATCGTGGCTGCATTGGTTTTGTGCAAAAACTTTTAAAATTGAATATAATCAAAATTATCCCTTTTATATCCTGTAATGCTCTCTCTTGTTTGGACATAAATTCTACCCTTATCGTAGCCAACTTTCTAATTTCACAGAAGACATAGGGGCCTGAAGTGGGGAGGGGGCTTGACCATGGCCACAAAGCTGAGGTCATAGAGAGCTGGAAAGGACCTTGGAGGTCAGAGTCCACACTCCCTCCTCCCCCATTTTACAGTGGAGGAAACTGAGGCTCAGTGCCTGGCCAAGGGTCACACACGGCTAGTGTCCGAGGTGGGATTTAAATCCGGCTCGTGTTCTCGGCCTGGAGTCTGCTGCCCTGTCCGCTGCGGGCAGGGGTCCGGTGCCCTGGACGCTCCCCTCGCTCGGCCTCACCTCCCGGGCGGTCATTCCTGCGGTCACACAACTGTTGGGCTGAAACTTACAAGTTCAGGGAGGGGGAACCTCGGGGGCGGGGCCGGCCAGGTGCGGGGGGCGGAGGCGGGGGGAGGGGGAAGGGGCGGGCGGCCTCCGCCCGCGAACTACAAACCGGGGGCTGCCGGGAGGAGGGAGCGGGAGGAAGTGACGCCCGAGCAGGCGGCGAGGAGGCTGGACCAGCCGGGAAGGAGCGGGAGCGGGAGCGGGGTCCGTGCCACAGGCAGCAGCAGCAGCCCCCGGGGCCCCCCGCAGCGCCAGCAGCGGCGCCCGCACCGGCCCCCTGCGCACCCGAGTGAAGAAGCCCCTTTGGCCGCGGCGGCAGCACGTGGGGCGGCTCGGGCCGGGGGTAGGTGGCGGGCGATCGCCCCGGACTTGGGGAGAGGGGACGGGGCGCCCTGGGGTCTCAGGCTCCGGGTGCCGGGGGGCTGGGGCTTCCGGGGACCCCGAAGGCTCGGGGTCTGCCGGCCGAGGACCCCGAGCCGAGCCTGGCTTTGCCAATTTCTTGCCGTAGTAACGGGACTAGTCATTTTCCCGTCTGGTCTCAGTTTCCTCATCTGTAAAGAGGGCTTGGACTGGGTGATCTCCGGGGCCTTCCCAAGATCTGCTAATGACCTCTGGGGAGAGGGGCAGCTCGGCCCCCTGGCCCTCTCTCTCCCCCTGCTCCGGGGAAGCCCCTGTGTGCTTGATCTCCTGGTGGGCTGGTCCTGGGGGGTGGAAATCAGCGGAAGAGAAGAGGCATTCAGGAAAGAGCTGGGGAGGAGCCAGCCTTCCCCCCTTCCACATCTCGGGGCCGCTGCCAGCTGGGATCTGGCAGTGCCACGGCAGGCCGGGCATGCTGCTAGGGGGCCGAACCGGGCTCCTGGGAAGCTTCCTCCTGGAGGCATCGTTCCTAGGGCTGTTGGGGTCTTGTCTTTGTACCCCCGTACCTGGCACACAGTAGGCGCTTCCTAGATGCTTGCCGCTGCAGGAGTGGCTGAATGGGACCTTTCTGCGGGAGGCATGGCCTCCCCTTCCCCAACCTGCTGCACCCCTCCTTCCTACATGGCCCCTGAAGGGCAGCAGCCTCGGGGCTCCGCTGACCCCTTCACCTCCTTCAGTTCCAGGGCTTGCCGACAAGTGGGGGTGTCGTCACACCCCGCTCTGCTCCACCTCTTCCCCAGTCAGTAGCCTTAGGTGAGTAAGGTGTCCGCTCAGTGCCTCAGTGGCTCCGAATCTGGCTCCGTAAACACCCGCTGTAAACAGCTCCTGTGATAAGTGGTTCAGTAATAGTAGCCACAACACCTGACGTTTGGGAAGCACCTTCTGGTTACAAAGCACTTCCCCCGACTTATGACCTGATTCTACATGTGTGACCTTTCCTCTGGCTGGGCCTCACTTTCCCCTTCTGGAGAATGGGCATTATTGTGCATTGGAGACTTTGTAAACCTCCTGGGGCTATTAGTATAAACTACATTTGTTATTATGTCTTTGTATCCTTGCCCCCCTGTAAGGAAGAGACCACCAGCCTTGGACCAGCTCCTTTCTTATTATAATAATGGCTTGAATTTACATTGCACTTTTAAGGTTTGCAAAGTGCTTTTCGTAGGCAGCTAAGGCTGATAGAGGTTAAGTGACTTACCCAGGGTCACAAAGCTGGTTTGGGGCCAAATTTGAACTCAGGTCTTCTATTGACTCTTCCCCTTAGGTGATGATATTAGAAATCATCTAATTCCACCTTTTTGCAGCAGAGGAAACTGAGGCCCAAGGGAAGAGACTTGCCCAAGGTCTAACAGCTTGCCTGTGGCATGGCCAGGATTCAAACCCAGGACCTCTGCCAGAGCAGAGGGGAGGGCCACGAAGTCCTCCTCCCATGGGCCTGGGAATCCCAAGTCCATGTGCCCCAGGGCCTCCGTCCTGGCCTCACTCACTTTCTCTGCCTTCCAGGGCTTCCACCATGGACCTCTCCCAGTTCTGTGCTTTCTGCTTGATGCTGATGCTGGCCAACACAGGTGCTTCAGACCCAGACCAGAGCTTGGAGATCTGTATCCTTCCTTCTGGCGGCTGGCCTGGTCCTGGCTGCAGGAGGGCTGGTGGGGAGGGTGGTCGAGCGCAGCCCCGGCTGTGTGAACCTTTCCCTCTCTGGGGAGACGCCCACATTGCACAGAAGAGAAAGCGAGGCCCGGAGAGGGAGGGATTTGGCCGAGGTCAGGAGGCTCGGAAGCCTCCATAGCATTAGATTGAAGTGAATCTTTGCTATTCTTATCATCTCACTTTCCATCTTATTAAAGAAATAAGACTCCGTCCCGAGGCCTCATCCTGCCTTCCCACCAAGGGGACGGTCTAGCTAGGCCGTACTCCCCGAACGCTCGGCCTTTTAGGGAGCGCCTGGCTAGGGTCGGCTCCGGCTGTCTCAGGCATGGATGGTCATCCTGTTTGGGGGCTATCACTGTAAGCTCACCCCATTGGAATGAGTCCAGAGTCCAGAAAGGATCACTGGAAAGCACCCCAGAGGCCATTTTGACCAACCTCCCTCATTTCACGGATGAGGGAACCAAGGCCCATGTCAGGGAAGTGACTTTCCCAAGGTCACACAGGTAGTGACATACGGGTCCTTAGACCCTGGAGCTCCCAGCTCTTTCCCCTCGACCACACTGCTTCCTGAGTGCCAAGATTCCAAAAAGAGCACGGGCCTCATGGGCAGCAGTGTAGGGAGCTCTGTGTTCAAGTTTCTCTTGCCACTGATGAGAGACCCTGGGTAAGTCACATCCTCCCCTGGGCCTCAGTCACCTCCCTTGTGGGTGTTTCTTTAGTGCTCCAAGGTTTGCAAAGCACTTCAAGAATGTTACCTCATTAGGTCCTCACAACAACCCTGGGGGGGAGGGGCTTTTGCTATCTCCATTTTACAGCTGGGAAAACTGAGGCAGGCAGAGGCAAAGTGCCTTGGCCAGAGTCCAAGCCTCTGTCCAGCATGGCCCCGGAGCGGGGCGGGAACACAATACCACAACCCAAGCTGATGAAGCAGCAGCCCCTTCTCATTTATGTAGGGCTTTGAGGTCACTCGGTGGGGGCAGCTTGGTGGCGCAGTAGATAGAGTGCCGGCCCTGAAGTCAGGAGGACCTGAGTTCAAATGCGGCCTCAGACCAAACACTTGACACTCACTAGCTGTGTGACCCTGGGCAAGTCACTTAACCCCAATTACCTAAAAAAAAAAATTTAATTTAATTTAAAAAATAATTAAAAAAAATAAAGTCACATGGTTATAGGCCAAGAACTGCTAGTCGGTCAGCAAGTTCCTGGGTGCCCAGGCCTTGTGCTAAGCACCAAAGCAAAAGAGAGCCCTGCCCTTGAAGAGGAGCTCACAGTCTGATGGGGAGAGGTGACCTGTAAACAGTATGCACAAACAGGCAGAGCTGGCCAAATTGGAGATAATTAACAGAGGGAAGGCAGCAGAATTAAGGGGAGAGGGAAGGGGTTTCTGTGTCAGGGGAGATTTGAGCTGGAACTTGAAGGAAGCCAGGAAGTGGAGATGAGGAGGGAGGGCATGCCAGGCAGGGGACACAGCCAGGGCAAATGCCTGGAGTCAGGAGATGGAGGGACTTGTTCATGGAACAGCTGGGAGGCCAGCGTCATCTAGTTCAACCCCTCATTTTTCAGCTGTGAAAGTTGAAGACCACAGGGTGAAGGAATTTGTCCAAGGTGAGATCTGAATCCAGGTCCTCTGATGACTGAACCTGTGCCCTTTCCAGAACCAGGCCTGTTTCCCCACCCAGCAATCTTGTGAGGTAGCTGCTTCGGGTATTATTGTCCCCTTCTCACAGATGGGAAAACTGAGGCTGAGAGAGGAAGATTGATTTGTTGAAGATCACATGGCCGGGAGGTATCATTCATTCAACCAACACTGTCTTCTCTAAGGTGGTGCAGAGGGTGCTTGGCCTGGGGTCAGGAAGACCCGAGTTCAAATCCTGCCCCAAACACTGGGTGTGGGACCCTGGGCAAGTCACTTCACTGCCACCTGCCTCGGTTTCCCCAATTGTAAAATGGAGATAACAGCACCCCCCTCCCAGGATTGTTGTGAGAATCAAGTGAGGTTACATCTGTAAAGCTCTCAGCATGGTGGCCGGTACATGGTAGGCGCTTCATAAGATGCTCGTTTCCTTCCTTCCTGCTGAGTGCCAGAGGGAGATGTGGGAGCCTCAGCTGCGTGGCCTGGTCCGAGTCACTCTGAGCCTCAGCTTCCTCTCCTGCAAGTAGTGATATCTCCAGTACTTGGGATCCTTGATCTAGAGCCAGGAGGCCCTGGAGTCTTGCCCTCCTTTTATAGAGGAAGACACTGAACACAGAGGGACACGTGGCACGGACCCCGGGATCTGACGTGGTCGCCATCGACCCTGGCTGCTTCTCGGGGGCCATGGGGCCCCTCTGGGCCGAGGACTGCCCTCCCTCTCTCTCCCTTTTCTTCCCCCCTTCTCTCTGTCTCTCTCCCTCTCTCATCGTCTTTCTCTCTTCTCTCCCTTTCTTTCTCTTTCTCTCTCTCTCTCCCCCTCTCTCGTCTTCCTCCTCTCTTTCCTCTCTCCCTCTTCTTCTCTCTCCCTTTCTCTCTGTCTCTTTCTCCTCTCTTTCCCTCCCTCCTCTCTCTCTTCCTCTCCATTTCACTTCCTCCCTTTTTCTCTTGTTCTCCATCCTGTTTCTCACTGTCTCTTTACACACACACGCACACGCACACACACATGAACACACAGATATATGCACACACGCACACACACACACACATGTAGGTAGGCACACACACATATATCCGCACTCCGCTTTCCTGGTGCCCGTCCTGTGGGTGGCTGGCAGCGCGGCTCGGGGCTCCGGCCTTAACCAGGACCTCAGACAAGAAGCTGTTTGCAGTGAAGCGCAAGGACCAGATGAAGGCGCTGAAGAGCCTCGTCGAGCTGAATGACGTCCACCAGCAGTACAAGATCATCGAGGTCATGCTCAAGGGCCTCTTCAAGGTGAGCCCCCAGATATCCGCCGGCCGAGGGTCTGGGGAGCACCACGCCCCATCCAGCCCAGGGAGTAGCCGGGGAATCAGCAGGAGAAGGTCTTGAAGGTGCGACCTCGCGGGATGGTGACTTTTATTATTATTGTCCCCATTTAATGGATGAGGAAACGGAGGCCCAAGAGGGAAGGGGCTGGCCTAGGGAGTCCTCTGACGCTAAGCAGCCCTGCTTCCTTCAGGACGGGCTCAGCGTCTGGACTGAGCCCCCCATTTGTTCGGTTATTGGGCACCTCATCTTTGCCAGGAGTTGCGCCCTCGAGGAGCTTGGGTTGGGGGTTGGGAGCAGGGCACCCCTGGTATAGGAGGCAGCCCTGAGCTGGGCCTGGAAGGAAGCCAGGAGAAGGTGAGGCCCAGGTGAGCGGGGAGAGCCTTCCGGGCACAGGGCGAGCTGCTCTGTCACGGAATGGCAGAAAGTGCCGTTCTGCTGGTGTGTCCCGCCCGTGATGGGAGGGCAGGATCTCAGTGTCTGGCCCGCGCCGAGCTCTGCCTCTTCCTTGAGGCTGGCGGCTGGCTCCACTGGGGATGTCCTGGGTGGTGCTCCCACCTTGGGGGAAGGGGACGGTCCTCCCTGAGCCCCCGATGCAGCCTCTCTCCCGTATCACATACACAAGGCTGTGGCTTGTGGAACAGTGGACTTTTTCCTGGCCAACCCCACGGCTCTTTCTGCATTTCTGCCTTTGACATTTTACCCGTGACCTTAAAACCTACCACAGTGAGAGCTGTGATTGTCATCCGTGCTCTGAGTTCAAATCCATCCCCCCACTCCAGGGGCCACCATCCTAGAGAGCCCGGACAGGGTGGGTCACCCTCCGGCTCTGGTCGCCATCCCCCAGCCTGCTTCCCCTGCTGGGGTGGGGAGGGGATGCTCAGCCTCTTCCGTCTTGCTCTGCCTGAGACAGGCAGAGGATTGGGGGTGGAAGGGAGTACCTGCGCCCCTCACATGTGGCCCGCTCCGGCTTCTTCACTGACACACGAGAAGCCTCACGGTGCTACATTCAGGTTGAGAGGGAGACACAGACCTGGCCCTGGATCCGGAGGACCTGGGTTCAGATTCTGCTTCTGAAGCCTACTGGCTATGGCTCTGGGCAGATCATTTCAGTTCCCGAGCCTCAGTTTCCCCCTTAGTAAAATGAGGGGGTTGGAGTCAGTGGCCCCTGGGTCCCCTTCCAGGCCTAGGCCTGTGGCCCCCCACATAGAGCACAGACCTCAGAAGAGGGGGGAGGGGGGCAGCGGGAAGCTGGGGGTGCTTACAACATGCTGGCCCCTGCACAAGGGCCTTCTAGCGAGGCCCGGCCTCCGTCCCCAGCCCCAGTCCTTGAGCTTTGGCCAAGATGAGGCCGCTCCTGGTTGCCACATGGGTTTGTGTCCGTGGCTTTATGAAGCGCCTACTGTGTGCCATGCACTGTGCTCAGTGCTGGGGATAAAAAGAAAGGCAGAAGCGGGTCCCTGTCCTCACGGAGCTCACATTTCTCCTCCAGGAGGGTGCAGTGACGGGGTGAGGCTGGGCTGGGGTAAGCCGTAGTTGGGGTGTCCAGGCGGGGCTGGAGGTGGCTGACCTTCACCCTTGGAGAACAGGCTCCTCCTCTCTCTCCCCCTCCTCCCTAAGCAGAACACCTAACCGCCCCCCCCCCCGCCCCTGCCGTGTCTCCTAGGTGCTGGAGGACTCCCGGGCTGTGCTGCTGGCGGCGGACGTCTTCCCCGACGGGCCCTTCCCAGAGGATGAGAAGCTGAAGGACGGTAGGAAGTGCCTGGGCCCCTGCACCCTCTGCGCCTCCTTGCTCACGCCTAGTCTGAGCATCGGCTGCGGGTCGTAAGAGAAAGAGGGAGACTGAGGCTCTGGGCCTGGCTGTGCTTTGTGCCACCCGTGTCTTACTCCCGTGAGACCCTGGGAAATCTGGAGGCCGATTCCAGCTCTGACACTTATTAGCTGGATGACTTTGACCTCTGTTTGCCTCTGTTTCCTCATCTGTAAAATGGGAACAACAGCACTGACTGCCCAGGGCTGCTGTGAGTGCCAAGTGAGATAAGTTACTGTCATTGCTACCGAAATACAGCATCTGGAGTCAGAGAATCTGAGCCCTCCTGGGAGCTAGGGCAAGTCCCTTGGCTTCTCTGGGCCTCGGTGTCCTTTTCTGTCAGACAAGGGGGTTGGACTCCATGGGCGCTGTGGCCTGCCTGTCCGTGGCTCTTGGAGACTCCTGCCTGCCGGCGTTAGCATGAGGCTTTCTGACCCCAAATCTGGCCATTTTACTACATCCCAGCTAGGATCAACACCTCTGGATAACGCCCTTCCCCTGCTGCCCCGCCGGTTCTCTTTAAGGTGTAAAAGGTGTGGACACACATAGCTGGTAAGGCTATAGGAGCCTGGCAAAGACAGACAGCGGGACGTCAGGCAGCCCGCAGCCGCCTCTATGAGGACCCTTGGGTCAGGTCCCATTCTCAGCTTCTCGGGTGTGGAGGTCTTGCGGGGTCAGAGCTGCAGGCCCCCTCCCCCACATGCCAGCTGGATGCTGCACCAGCTGGGGGGAAGAGCACAGAATTACAGAAACAGGGCTGTGTGAATGAAGAGGGTCACGTTTTCCTTATCCCCAGTTTCCAGCCTCCTTTTGTGACTATTCCTCCATCATTTTATAACCGTGTTTTTCTGGACTTTTCCCTCTTTTAACCTTGTTTTCCTAGGTGCTCACATTAAGTTAAATGTCCTATAAATAGCAATTAAGTCTTTTTGTTAAATTTGGGTTCGTTATTAAAAATTGACTTTCTCTCCCTGCCCCTATTTGGGGGTGGGGGTGGGGGGAACACCGTAAATCCTTGTAACAAATAGCATAGTCGGACAAAGCACATTCCTGCGTTGGCCGTGTCCAGAGGCATCTGTTTGTTCTGCCCCCGAGTCCCTCCCCTCTTCGTCTTCCTGGGTCTTTTGGAATTGTGGCCGGTAACTGACCTGATCAGAGTTCTGTTCTCCTCACGCTTCATCAGTGATGTAAGCCCTCCCGATTTCTTCAAGTCTATGTTTCATCATTTCTTATGGTAATATTCACGTGCTGTAATCTGTTCATTCATTCCCCAACTGGTGGGCATCCCTTCAGTTACCAGGTCTTCGCTCTACAAAAAGAGCTGTACCCACATGGACGAAAAAGAAAATATAGACATGTTTGTACACGTGTCCTTTTCCTCTTTCTTTAATCTCTTTGGGGGGTGTGCCTAGTAGTGGTACCCTAGGGTCAGTGGGTATACACAGTTGAGTTAATTTGGAGACACGGTTCTGAATTGCTTCCCGGAATGGCTGGATTGATCACAGCTCTACCAGCAGTGCATTAATATGCCTGTTTCTCCTACATCCCCTCTAACATTTATTTACTAATCTTATGTTTATGAAGTGGAACCTCAGAGTTGCTTTAATTTGCGTTTCCACATTTTAAAAATGTGGCTATATATAGTTTTGATTTCTTCCCTTGACGACTTACGCTGTTTCTCAAATGGGGAATAGCTCTTATTCTTATACGTGGGAATCTGTTCCCCATGTACCCTGGCAATGATATTAGACTGTAAGCTCCTTGAGGGCAGGGACTATCTTTTGCCTTAAGCCCCAGTGCTTAACACGATGCCCGTTTTATCTTCTGCGATCCTGTTTGGTTGGGATTTCTTCTTGCTATCCTTGGGTCAAAAAGTGAATTTCTTCCTTGCTACCGCGGATTTGTTTAAAATGTCACCCTTTACGTTTTCATTTGGAGCTTCCTTTGGGCTGTGCTGTGAGATGTTTCGTCTGTACCTAGCTTCTGCCAGGTGACTTTCCAGTTTTTGTCAAATAATGAGCTCTTCCCCCAGGAGGGGGTTGTCAAACACTGTCACACTGTCATTGAATGAGTGAGTGATTTGTTAATGGCTTCCTATGTGCCAAGCACTGTGCTCAATGTTGGGGTTATAGATACAAAGTATCTTTGATGCTTTGGAGGAACTCCCCTTCTAATGATGGAGGGGTGTGTGTGTGTGTGTGTGTGTGTGTGTGTGTGTGTGTGTGTGTGTGTGTGTGTGTGTGTGTACCTAATCTGTTCCTGAGTCTCACTTTCTTTGTGAGAAAAGTGGAGTTAGTGATTCCTGCCCTGTTGGGCTCTCAGGAGGACCCCATGGCTGTGCAAGGTCGTGGCACGCTGTACCCCCTCTCGTATCGTGCCTTCTTCCTATATGTGATCAGGAGGTAGGCCCCTTCTGTGCATAGTAATTGGGGTCTTTGTGCAATAACCTGAGTGAGGAGGCGTGGCCAAAGGAAGGCTTGGGGAGGCTTTCTTCACCCTCCCGTCACCCACCATTGAGCAGCTTCTCACTCGGTCGTCCCTCGGACTTCACGGGATCCCAGATCTAAGGCTGGAAGGACCCCAGAGGCTGAGGGGCCAACTCCTCATTTTACAGACGGGAAACTGAAGCCAGGGAGATTGCCCAGGGCCCCTTCCTGCCGCACTGGCTGGCTGCCTGGCCTTTAGAGCAGACTCATTCATTATCCTCCCAGAGGAAGCAAAAAGCTGGTGTTTTAAGACCCTTCAGCCCCACCCCAAGCCCCCAGACCTGATCAGTTGTGGCAGGAGCAAGGCACAGCTCGCTCGCTTATGGGGTGGCTACTGTGTCCATCCCCCTGGGCACAGACTGAGGGAAGGGCTCCACTACTGCTTTAAGTTTTATAGAAAGATTTCTTCACAGCAGCACTGGGGATGGTTGGACAAGTCTTGTTGTACCCATTTCCCAGATCTTCAGTGTGGTGAAGTGGAATCACCCCCGGAGACACAGTGAAGAAGTTCTGAGCCTGGTTCTGTCCTCTGTTCAGGGCTTCCCAGCTCCCTGTTCCCAGGCTCTTCCTTGAGCTTTCAAGCTTAGTTTCTTGGATTCAGCCTCTAGGGTGGGCAGGGTACCTTCCTTCCAAACTTCCTGGGGGCAGGAATGGTGAGGACCCTGCTTCCTGGGGCCTGACACATGGAGCTCTCAGTCCCCGGTGCTGAGAGGCGGCAGGTGGTACTGACATGATTGTGCTGGGACTGGGTGTCTGTGACTCCCCACTGTCAGCAGAGCAGCCATGGTGGACTCCTTGAGGACAGCTGCCGGGCAGGGCTGTACCCAGGACCCCCCAGCCAGGACCAACTTACAAAGCACCCAGTGCGTGTCTAGAGCCCCGACTGAGACGGCTCCTGCCCTCAGGGTCCTTCCAGTCTGGCAAGAGTAAGATGGAATAAGAGGCCAATGTACACAGCTAGCGTACAGTTTGAGACAGCTGCTCAGGAGGGGGCATTCATCTGCTCAGACAGCAAGGGCAGCAGACAATTTTGAAATTCATTTTAAGTTGATAAGAACCGACGGAAGCTTGGAAAAATAGTTTTGTTGTTCAGTTCAGTCATGTCCAAGTCCTTGTGACCCCATCGGGGTCTTCTTGGCAGAGATACTGGGTGATTTGCCATTTCCTTCTCCAGCTCGTTTTACAGATGAGGAAACTGAGGTAGACAGAGTGAAGTGCCTCGCCCAGGGTCAGACAAGCTAGTGTCCGAGGCTGGATTTGAACTCAGAACTTCCTGACCCCAGGCTCAGCACTCTATCCACTGCACCACCTAGCTGCCCCGTTCAAAGAGTTAAAATGGATGATAAAAAGCCCTGCTCTTGGAGTCAGGAGCCTCTCTCTAGGGCTCAGTTTCCTTCTCTGTGAAGTGGGGGTTGGGGAGTTAGACTAGGTGACCTCTGGCAGCCCATGGATCCCGAGATGCTGCGGGGCATGACAGCTTCTCCAGGACTGGCCCTGCACTTAGGCAGAGTAGGAAGCCACCTCCTTGGGGACAGCAGCACTAAGGAAGCCTTGCCACCCTCCACCGAGGAGGTGATGGGCCCTCAGCCCCCTCCCATGCTCACACCCTGGGAGTCTCAAGGCCCAGAAGGCTGGACGTGGCATTCACTGCTCTCTGCGCCAGCGGCAGCTTCGGGGCAGCTTGAGGCGTGGGCAGCACCGGAGCTCGCTGGGCCAGGGTTCTGCCGCTGGAGTTTCTGGCCCTCTCTCGGGAAGGGCTGGTTCTGGTGGTTCTGGTGGAAGCTTTGATGCAGGGTGGGGAGGAGCCTCCGGCCTCCCAGAGTCTGAAGGGAGGTGACCCACAGAGCCCTGGAAAGAGCAGAGCTGAGATTCAAACCCCCGCCCTCTGCCTCACCCGCCAGGTTCTTTCTGCCATCTGTGCAGAGAGGAGCGTAGGCTTAAGCCCAAAGGGACCTCGGACGTCATTCAATCCAAGCCTTTTTTTTTTTTTGGTGAGACAATTGGAGTTAAGTGACTTGCCCAGAGTCACACAGCTAGCTAGGAAGTGTCTGAGGCCACATTTGAACTCAGGTCCTCCTGACTCCAGGGCCGGTGCTCTATTCACTTTGCCACCTAGCTGCCCCTCCAAGTCCCTGTTTTTACAGATGAGGAAACAGCCCCAGAGAATTTAAGGAACTGGCCCAAGGTCACTGAGTGCCAGAGCCAGAATTTGAACCCTTCACAGAAGGGCCTGTGCCACTTCTTGTATTCCTGGGTTGAGCCAGCCCGGAGGAGACAGTGGGTCCAAGCATGAGGAGGTGTGGGGGGTCCTGGAAAGAAGGGGTTGGCACTCACCCCAGCATCTTCTCCCAGCATTCTCCCACGTGGTGGAGAACACCGCCTTCTTTGGCGACGTCGTGCTCCGCTTCCCCAAGATTGTCCATCACTACTTTGACCGAAATTCCAACTGGAACCATCTCATCCGCTGGGGCATCAGCTTCTGCAACCAAACAGGTGTCTTTGACCAGGGCACCTACTCCCAGCTTCTGGGCCTGGTGAGTCAGGCCTGTGGGGAGGCGGGGGGGGGGCGGGCCCAGACCACCGTCTTCTCTACCGCACTAGCTTCCCCAGGGGCCTCTTCGCTGCAGCACCGAAGGCTCCAACCCCTCCCACGTCCCCCCGATTCTGGGTCTTCCTCGACCCCAGTCTCCTCTCTCCCTCCTCAACCCTTCTGCTCCAGGACGTAGAATCGAGGGGCATGACTGGCCTGTCTGCCAGCTCAGCTCTGGAGTCACACATGCAGCAGATAACATAGCTTGGCTTTGTCTGGTTAAATCTTGGTTCTACCACAGTCCCCGTTTTACAGATGAGGAGACTGAGAGCTAAAGGCAAAGAATAGGTGGGAAAATAGGGGGTCAGAGGACCTGGGTTTGACCTTTGCTAATTACTAGCTGCGATTTGAACCCTGGTCCTCTGCCTCCCACAGCGGTGGCCTTCCTGCCTCTTATGGAAGGACTTCTGCTATTAACAAATAGCTCTGGGATTCTGGGCAAGTTACTTTCCCTCCCTGTGCCTCAGTTTCCTCATTAGTAAAATGAGGAGGCTGGACAGTGTGGCCTCTGGGGGCCTTTCCTGGCCCCAGGCTGGAAGATCCCATGACCTGCCTAAGATCACAGAGCTGGTAAATGGCAGGGTGGGGATTTGAACCCGTGTCCTGACCCCAAGCCTAGAACCATTTCCATTGCCCCATGATGCAGACTCTGCTTGGAGGCCCCTGGCTGGGTGCTGGTCCACACTTGCTCTGCCTGCACCAAATATTCTAGGCTCCTGGGCCTAGAACCTCTTCTGCTGCATGGCCCAGCTTCCCTGCCCTCTGGTGCCCTCTCTGTGTCCCCTCTTCTCGGCTGGAGTGAGCCCCTCCCCCCTCTGATCCCTACCCCTGGGTCTCAGGCCTGTCCCTTTAGCCCTTCCCCCCTCTGATCCCCACCCCTGGGTCTCAGGCCTGTCCCTTTAGCCCCTCCCCCCTCTGATCCCCACCCCTGGGTCTCAGGCCTGTCCCTTTAGCCCCTCCCTGTTGCACTCTCCCCTCCCCCATCAGCCTTTGTTGCTCTCTTTGGGATCCCCGGGTTCTGCTCCCCTGGGCTTCCCCCCACCCAACCCTAGCCTCCTTCCCCTAAGCTTATTAAGGATGCTATCATTCTGCTTTTACTTACCCTACACCCCCTCCCTCACTTCTTTATCCTTTGTATTCATGGATGTGCAGAGTTTAATAGATAAATGGGGGAGGTCACCTGAGTTGAGGAGCCACTTTTAGGGCAGGGGATCTTTTAGGAACATCTCACTCGAATTAAATCAGAAGAGGAGAGCCGGGGCCCACAGAAGGGACTAGAACAAACGGCAGGGAAACTGAGGCAGACAGACTTACTGATGCTTTTTCTTCTTGTGGCCCTCAGATGGCTCAGGAGCTGGGGGTTGGTGAGAGATCCCCAGATTACAGGAACCCCTTTACAACAGACCACTCAGAGGTGAGTGGGGGGGGGCTTGTATACTGAGCTGTTAGGCCAGGCTTGCCCTCCCATGTGGTCTGTGGGGGAGTGAGCGTGGGGAGGGGCCAAGAGAATTATTTTTTAGAAAATAGAGTTGTCTGGTTAAAACCCCCTGAATAGGGGATAGTGAGGGACCTGTGTCTTCGTGGAGAACTCCCATAGGAGCGCATCCCTCCACCAAACCAGGGCTGGACCTTCTCTGTAGCTGCTGGTCCTTGAGAATTAATTGCCCAGAGCGCAGAGAGGGTTGGTGACCGGCCCGACGTGTGGCAGAGTGGGACTGCATCCCAGGTCTGCCTGGCTCTCCCACAACTACATAGAATGCACACACGATGCTGTGCGGGGCTGGAGATGCTGCTGGCGGGGCCTGTCTGCCTCCCTTCCTTTGGGGAAGGCTGCCGGCGGCTGCAGCCTCTTCCCAGGAGGGGAAGTCCAGGGGTCAGCCCTGAAGCTGACCACCTCTTCTTTCCACTGGTAGTCCTTCCAGGATACTGACCTCTTCCAGAAGGCCCTGAAGGAAGAGGAAAGGCGCCGGAGGAAAGAGGAGAAACGGAAGGAGATCCGGAAGGGCCCCCGAATCTCTCGCTCCCGGTCAGAGTTATAGCCCTGGGCTTGCTCCCGGACTGGTGGGGCTAGGCTTCCAGAAGAGGAGGGGATGGTGTGTGAAGGCCAGGCTCCACTGCATTTGGAGACTGCCTCTTACCTCAGGTGGATGGAGGACCTCCTGGCCTCTACCTGGGGACTCAGCCATCCCACTGCTTCCCAAGGGTGCAGACAGCCGAGAAAATGCATCTCATCCTGAAGTGAGGACCAGAGGTCCTGGTGGGAGTAAGCACTCTGCACCAGAAGGGCCCCGTGCTGCCCCTTTCAAGCCCAGGACCTTAAGAAGCCCATTTTCTCCTTGGAGAATGACTCGCTCTGCCAACCAAAGAAGTGGGTGGGGCATCCTGGACCAAAGTGATCCAGGCTGGGGCCTCAGCCTGGCATCCCCTCGCCCAGAGAGGGCGCCTGCCGGGCCTCTGGGCACCACTGTGTCTTGCCAAATGAACCACCAGCCCCTTTTGCAAAGATAATAAAATAAGCAACCTCTTTAGATACATCCCCGGCCTCTGATGGAGGATCAGGGAGGGTGGGGATGGTATCAGGAATCCTGGGGCAGAGGAGCTACCTGGTGATGCTTTTGAAGGCAAAGGGAGAGGGAGGGCATAAGCACTGCATCCCCAGGGCGGGCTGTGGACAGGCCTAGAGCTTCTGTGGGATTTGTCCAGCTGGTGAGGCTGGTCTCCACACCCCCATCCCTTCACAACTGCCTGGCCCACAGCAAGCTTAATAAATCCTTATTCAGCAAAAGAATGAAGAGCGTAGGCAGCAGCTTGGTTCTATCCACCAAATGTTTTATTAAGCCCCTACTCTGTACGTGATACCCAGGATGCAAAGATGAGAAACAGCAGCCCTGCCCTTGAGACAGCTTACTGTCTAGGGCAGGGGGGCTTGGCCTAAAGTGCATAGAGCCCTCAGGGGCCCAGGAATAGATTTCGTGAGGTCTGGAATTTTGATGAGAAAAAAATTATATTATTTTCACGAATCTCACGTGAAAGCTAGGCAGTCAATCCATAAGCATTTATTAAGTACCTACTGTGTGCTCGGCAGAAATGCCTCTGCCCTCAAGGGGCTCACAGTCTAACCTGGATTTTCCTTCCAGTTTTTAAAGATGGAGAAGGGGTCCAGGAGACGAAGAAGTTGGTGTCAGCCAGTGGTTCCGAGTCCCCAAGACTTCAGGGAGTACACAAAGCAAAACTATTTTCATCAGGACACCAAGACATTTCAATCCCTAATGTGACTCCGCATAACCTGCGGAAAAGAGCATTTGCTCCCTGGAGGGTCTTCAGTATGAACAGACAAAGTCCCCAGCCCCCTGAGTCTCCGTTTCTTCCTTTGTGCAATGAGTGGGGTTGGACTTTCGGATCTTGGAGCCCACAAGTGCATGGTGGGAGTGGGCCTTGCAGATTGGAAAAGGTCTGGGCTGGGCCTGACAGAACCCAGAGGTTCTGAAAGGGGAGTCTGGACCTCTGAGGCCACCTGTAGGGATTTACCAGTGACCTTTGGCCTTAAAGAGCCAGCCTGTCTTCAGCAGGTTTGTTGAGCCTGAGGGGCAGTGGCTGAGCTGGAGCTTGGGAGCTGAGAGTCCAGCCCAGCAAAGACCGATGCTGCTATTGGGGTGACCTTGGGCAGATCCCTTCCTCAGTTTCCTCACCTGGACAGAGGGATTTGTACTGAGTTTAAGGTCCCTTCTGTCTCAAACTATACTCCTCATGGTCAAGGAGATCTGGGTTTGAGGCCCAGTGCTTACACAATTCACTTACAGTCTAGAACTCAGTTTCCCTCTCTGTAAAATGAAGGAGGTGGGATTAGACCCAGGTTCTAATCCTTCTTGGGGTATGGACTTCTCTAATAGTCTAGTGAAATCTATGAAGCCCTTCTCAGAATCCAGTTTTTACAAGTAAAATACTTAAGTTTACAAAGGATACTAATTACACTAAACTCAAGTTCAGGGTCCAGGTTAAGACCTTCTGGCAGAAAGCTCTTCCTCTAATAGCTATGAGGCCCACCGAGGCATGACCCCAGGCCTAGGTGCTCTGGGATGCCCAGAGCTAGGATTGCTTGGTTACCGCCCTCCAGGAATTTGTGTTCAGTGCTGGGGCTGTGGGGACTTTAGCCCAAAAAGTGTCCTTGGGACTGAGGGACCACCCCGGTGGGAGATGCCCTTGGGTTCCCCAGGGATTGGTCTCTGCAGCGTGTCCCATAGTGCAAGGTGTTGTTCTTGGAGGAGTCAGAGGACCTGCGTGTGTGTCCTGGTTCTGCTGCCTGGATGACCGGGTGACCAGGGTGAGCAAGCCACTGGGCCTCAGTTTCCCTCTGTGCAAAATGAGAGGGTGGGATGGCTTCCAAGGTCTAAGTCATGGGTGACCTTGGTTAAGGTGGGCAAGGGGGGTGGTAGGTTTTGAGGGGGAGGGGTTGAGGTTGAAAGAATGCCTGGGGGAGGGGAGGGAATGGTACCATCTTCCAGACCAGTGTCCTGCTGGGTCCTAGAGGGTCCGAGGCAGTTGTTTTCTCCTCAGTCACAGGAGGAGGAGAGTGTGGGATGCTCCTGGGCTCACAGACCAAGACCCCCCGGTGACCATCAAGTCCAGCTCCATTGTTTTACAGAGGAGGAAACTGAGGCACAGAGGTTAAGTCACCTAAGTAGCTTACCCCTTCCCATATCAGAGGCTGTCTTGGAGGTTCATGGGCTTTCCATGGAAGCCTGGTGGTGGGGCCTGGAGTCATAGGGTCATTATCTGGACACTGTATTTAAAAATTATGATCTGTGACATACATATGTAAATATACATATATATGCATTCTGTGTGTGTAGATAGATGTGGATTTAGAGCCGAAAAGTACAACACCCCCATTTTACAGAAAGATACTGAGGCTCAATTAAGTTAAATGCCTTGCCCAGGGTCACAGAGCCCTTAAGGGCCAGAGGCAAATTTGGAACCCAGGCCTTCCTGACCCCAAGTCTCCCCACTATTCCTCAGCTAGGCTGCTTCTCCGTTGTTTGACCAGGGCCAAAGTCCTTCACCTTCGTAGACCTCAGTTTTCTTATCTGCAAAATGGGAAGACTGACACCTGCACTTGTGAAGAAAATAAAAGCTGGTGCCATGAAGGCCCGTTACTCTGAGGGCTGTCCTGCCATTGGCCAGAGGCAGAGTCCTGTCACAGCCAAGGCCTTTGTTCAGCCTGGTCAGCCTTGGCCGGGGTCTGGAGCTAGAATGGGCCAGACCCGCCCTCTTGTTCTTCAGCTGGGGCCCAGAGAGGGGAGGGGACCAGCCCCACATCACACAGGAGGTAACTGCTCTGCAACCCTCCAGTTCGGAGCCAGGGAGCTTAGAGGGAATGTGCTCGGGAGGAAGAGAGGCAGGGGAGTACCTGGAGATGCCAAGGTGGGCTGGGCAGAGGGAGCGATGAGGAAAGAAGAGAAATGACATTTCTAAACCCTGGGGAGGGAAATAGAGAAGGAACTTGTGTGGAGTATTCCTCTCTAGAGCCTGGACTGGGAGCTAGGAGGGAAGCTGGAGTCCTGCCATCCCCACCTCTGGGGCCCAGAGAGGGGGGAGAGCCTGTTAGCAGCCCTCCTTCTCTAAAGGCCCTGGGGGATCAGCCGGGCCAGCCTTCCCACTTTCGCAAAGGATCTAATCGAGGCCCAGGCAGGCAAAATGACTTGCCCAGGGTTACAGTGTCAGAATCAAGATTTTGACCGGGGTGGGGTGGGGGGGGAGACAATGACTGGTTCCAAATCCCGCCCGAATGTTCAAGACACCACATTGCATCTTAACAGTGGGAAATTAAATGCATCAAACCAAGCATATTTAAAAATTTTTTTTTCAATTTTCAAGCATTTATTTTTTTCTCCTTCTTACCTCCCCCTGTTGCGTCTGAGAGATTGAGACCCCTGCAAGATTGGAGTACAGGTCGGATCATCTGCAAGGAATTCACAGACTCAAAAATTCTTTAAGTCAAGGTGCCAAAGGTTTATTGTTACGCTTTTCAGCGGGCAAGGATTCTTAAGGAACTTGCCACAGACTGAGGATGGAGCTAGGGTTTATATGGAAAAGGGCATGGGAAAGGAATGCCAGGGACACTGATGAGGTAATCCAAAGGTCCAGGTGGCTTTGGGAGCTATGGATGAGAAAGTATAGGGAGTATGCCAGATAGGGAGGGAGATGACAGAGGTATGGATCTTTGGAGTCTGGCAGGAGGAAGAGTCCTTGGGCTGGCCAAGGACAGAACTCCTTGGGCTGGGCAAGGCACCCCTCTCCCTCTGTCTTGATGAGAGAATGCTCTGCAACAAGGGGAAGCTTTCTCACAAGACAGGAACTTACTACGGAATTGGGAGGCTTCCAGAGACATGATCTGAGGGCTGAGGCCTGAGCAGGCCAGCACTCTCTCACCCAGCTTTGGGTAGCTGCACCAGGGAGAGAGAGAAGAGTCATGCTGAGGCCCGTGCGTGAATAACTGCTAGGCACAGCGTCCTTGGGCTGGGCAGTGGTTGTCAGAGACAGGGTTTCTGAGACTAGGGAGAAATTGGGGCCCAAGTCCCAGCACAAGCACTCAAGCACCCCATCACCCCCATTGAAAAAAGAAAAGAAAAAGAAAGCCTTGCAACAAGTCTATAGAAGGTATGGGGTGTTCAGGCAGAACTAGCACCTCTGTTTTCAGGACTGCTTGTCCATCTTTCCTGCTCACCCAACTCTAACCTGTGGCTCCAAGAAGCTGGAGCACAGACAGTCGCCACGCTTCACAAATGGTCTTGGCAGAGGGGCTAACTCAGGCTGAGGGCAACTTGCAGGCCTCAGATCTGTGGGTGAGTTGGGGGGGTGCTCCGGGCATATGAAGACTTCCTGGTGGAATGGGGGGATGAGAACCTTGGGAGAACACTGTTCCAACGGCCACGAAGACGGCTTAGAGCTTGGTCAGACTGAAGACGCCAAGGTCACCTACTGCGTCCTGGGCCGTCGCCAGGTGTCCTGTCTTTTGTCTTGCCACTGGACTGTGATGGATTCAGGAAGAGAGAGTGAGACTGACGACTCTGCCAAACTGCCTCTCTTAAATCCAGTTTACGAGCAAGCGAAGACCACCTGTGATGTCACTGGCCCTCTTCAAAACCGAACCTCCAACAACACACAGTCAAGCCAAAGGGATTTTCACGTAGGCCGAGGGGTCGCTGCCCCCAGGGCATCAGTCATCAGGAAGGGGAGAATGCTTCATCTCTGGGCTTCTGACATTGTCATCAGAGTTCTTAGGTCTTTACAGCACAGCAGCTACTGTACACATTGTGCTGGTGCTCACTTCACTGTGAATCAGTTCACACGAGTGTTCTGAAGCTTCTGGAAACTTCCTTTCTCAAGTGGGGCATTTGTAAAGCACTCAGTACAATGCCAGGTATGTTGTAGGTACTTAATAGATGCTTGTTTCCTTCTGCTTTCCTCCCTCTCTCCCTTCCTTTCCTCCCTCCCTTCCTCCCTCTCTCCTTTTCTTTTTTCCTTTCTTCCTCCCTCCCTTTCCTTCTTTTCTCCTTCCCTCTCTTTCTTCCTCCTTCTCATCTTTCCTTCTAGCAAAAGAGGGAATGATCAATGATCTGGGGACTTGGAGAAGAGTACTCTATCTGCTATTGTAGTGATGCTGAATCTTTTTTTAGGGCATCACACAATCTCTTTTAATATTAATGGCAAAGAGCGGTAGGGTTCAGAGTGGGAGATATGGGTGCGATTCCCAGCTCTCCCCTTTACAGCCTTTATGACCTTGGCACGCTTCCTTCTCCGAGGGGCCCTGGGGGGGCCCACTATAGCCGAGCCTCATTCAGATGGCCGATTCTCTTCATTTCTAAAGTCTGTTTGCCCTACTTCCAACATTCTATGAACCTGTTGAGGGAGGCAGCTTAGCCCCGGGGCTTGGGGGCAGAGCTGGGCCACAGAGGTCAGAACCAGGAGTACTGGACGGAGGGTGCAAAGAGGCAGATTTAGGCTCCCAGTCATGAAAACCTCGCTAGCATGAGCGAGCTGCCCCAGAAGTCCCGGGCTCGCTAGCTCCCACCCAAGGTAGGATGGGTGACGGATGACCACTTGTGGGCCGTTACAACGGAGATTGCTTTTCTGGGTCTGGTTGGACTAGAAGGCCCCCGAGGGTGCTCTGACCCAAATTCTGCGCCTCTGAAAATAACACCGAGGTGGGGGGGGGGTATCGTACCGAGGTTCGTCCCTGTTTGCACTCCATCTTTTTTTTTTTCCCCTCCCGCTAATCAATGTTATGTCAGTTTCAGGTCGGCATCCCCTCCCCTTCCCTTCCCCTTCCCCTCCACGGAGAAATCCAATGCACGAACCCGTAACAAATACGCAGCGTCGAGCAAAGCAATCTCCCACGTTGCCCAAGCCCCCCGCCCCCCAAAAAAGCCTCCATCTGTACTTGAATCCATCAGCTCCGTCGGCCCGTTCAATTTGGGGCCCCCAAAGTCCCTAGCAGGATTACAACAGAAAACCTGGCACATTTGGGGGTGTTAGTGACTCACTGTCCCCATCTCATAGATGAGGAAAGTGCCCGGCCCCAGGTGCACCGACCCGCGGTCCGCGCAGGTAGCCACCACCTGGCAGGTGTACGGCTCGCGGGGGAGGGGCAAAGGACTGCGGGTTTCCCAGACGAGCTACGGGCTTATCCCATCTTCTGGGGAGGGGGAGGGGCAGGGGGCAGGGAGGGCGGGGTGCACAGAGCGTGGGAGCTGGAGGAGCGCTGAGCTCAAGCTGCCCCGTGGGGTAGGAGGAGAAGAGGGCGGAGCGGCCCCTTTAAAGCCGGGCGGGGGCGGGTAGCCAAGCCCCAGACGCTTCCCGCTCTGATTCGCTGCGGGGGGGGGGATGGGAGGGTGGTTCCAGAAGAGGGCGGGGTCCGGCCATGCAAATAGAAGCTGCTGATCGGTGACGCACCATCACCCCACGCGCCGCGCCGCCAGCCCATTGGCCGCTGCCAACCTGGTCTCATTGACAACAAACAACGGAGCGCGCGGCCGCTGGGCGGGGCCAGAAGGGGGCGGGCCCGGGGAACCCCGCCCGCGAGGCCCCGCCCCCTCGCCCGAGACATCCCAGGGCCGCGCGAACATGGCGGCGGTTGGCGGTGACCGGTGAGGCGGCGTCTGACTGCGACAGAGCTCGGGGACATGGGCGGCGGCCGCGGCGGCGCCGCCCCCGCGTCTCGCTGAGGACCGGGCGGGAGCCGAGGGCCCGGCGCGCACAGTCGGGCGATGGAGGCGAGCGGCGGCGAGCTGGGCGCTCTGGAGACCATGGACACCCTCACGGAGCTGGGGGACGAGCTCACCCTGGGGGACATCGACGGTGAGTGGCGGCCGCGACTGCGCCTGCGCGCCGCCCCCCCGCCCCCCTGCCCCCTCCGCTCCCCCTCCCCCGCCGCAGGCCGGAGCATCCGTACGCCCTGCTGCCTCCGTCCGGCCGCGCGGCTGTCCCCACGCCCGCGGAGCCTCGTCCACGTGCGGCCGCCGGCGTGCCCCCCGGCTCCCGCCCCCCACGTGCAGCTGTCACGCCACGCCACGCGCGCCGGGCCGGGGGCAGGTGCAGCGGCCCCGTTTCAGCGGCGCTTTTGCGGGGGGATCCAAGTTGACAGGAGTCGGTGCCCCTTTGCCCGGGGGTGGGGGCGATCTGGTGCCAACCCCGGCATCGGCCGTCGGGGCAATGCCCAGTGCCCGGCCCCGAGCGCTGCGGGAGGCACCCCAGAGCCGCCGCCTCACTGGGGAGGGGGACCCTGCCGGGTGTAGAGCGCAGACCGAGGATCGCTGCTGTGCTTGGGGGCCGTGGAGAGGGAGGCCGACCGCCCCCACCTCCACGTGGAGGGAGACGTCTTAACGTTTACCGAGTCCTCTAAGAGGCGAGATCTTAGGTGAGGAAGGGGCTTCGCGGTCGGCCTCCCATGTGGCCTAGGGGCTGCCGAGCACAGGACTGAGCCCAGCCGCGGAGATCTTCGTTTGACAGATGGGGACCCTGAGGCTCAGGGGGCACGCAGCTAGAATTTGAACCCAGATCTTCGGCCTCCCAGACCTGGATTGTGTGCCGTTAGAGCCCGTGGGAGGCGTGAGAGACGTAGAGAAGAGTCTTTGAGGAAGTTGGGATGGGGGGGCAGGTTACTTTTGCCCTTGTTTGTAGGAAAGGGAAATCTGAAGCCGGGGCCTGCCTGTTAGGGTGAGTGGGTGAGTGGCTGTGGCTGATGAGGCTCCCAGGGGGGGAACCCCCAGTAGCCCTGGTGAAGCTGGAATGGCAGCTCTGCAGGGCAGGACTGCTTCTCTCCTCCGCTGGCCCAGGGTCTGGTGGGTAGCAGGGGCTTCCCGTTAGAGCGTTTTTTAGGGCGAAGGGAAGCAGCCAGGAAGACAGGCAAGAAGGGCTGGAAGTGGATCGGCCTGGGTGAGGGGGGCCTTGGCTTGGAAGGGAGAGGAGGGGTGGGCGGAGGGATGAGAAAGCAAGCCTGGCTCTTGGGCATCGAGGCAGGGAGGTGAGCTGAAAGGGAGGGCCGTGCTGGGGCCTCCAGAGCCTCGCTTTCACCAGAAGTTACTTAGGTTGTAGGGGACTCAGGGGCACTTGCTGGAGGCCAGAGGAGGGAGGGATTCCGGCTGGGGTGCTAGAGAGGACAGCCACCAAAGACTGCCTGCGGTCTCCAGGCCTGCTGCTTGCTGACCCAGTGCACGTCAGAGGAGTGGGTAGGCTGAGGCTCTGGTCTCAGGAGTGAGATGCGGGAACTTCCAGGATGAGAAAGTCCCAGAACATGATGGTAAACATGACTGGGGGGAGATCAGGGGGGAAGGTAGCCGGGTAATGTGTCCTTGGAGACTGGGGGATGACCGTCGTGACCCATGATTAGGACTTGGGGGGAGAAGGCGGGCAGCCACTTTCTGCCCTGGGGCCCAGGGTTAGAAGAAAGGACTTCTGTTCTGAGCCATCTTCTCCCTGTACCTGCCTGGGTGTGTGATGCCCGCTTCTCCCACACTTGTTGGCCACCCCAGGGCACGGTCTCTCCCCTTTTGTCATCGCCTCACTCCCAGCCCTGGCTTAGATGGAGTGGATGCTGGGCGTGGTAATCAGTGTCTGCTGGGCCTGGCCACACCTGGTTTCCTTTCTTACTTTCACCCACTTTTGGGCCATGAGAGTCGTGGTGTCATGGGACCACATCTCCTCTGACACAAAGTCCAGACCCTGGCCTCCCTAACCTCACCCTTGACCAACATTTCCCGAAGCCCGACCTGTCCCATTGGTTATCCTTCCGAGGGGCATGGGAATGAGGATGAGGATGAGCACAGCCCGGCTCCCGGGAGGAGCCGTCTTTTCTTAGGCTTTAGAGCTGGCTGGAGACATTGTAGGGCCTCATTTACACCAGAGAAAGTGGCCCCAAAGAGAGACCAGGTGCAGAGAACAGAAGCAACGTGAGGTGGTGGGAACGAAGCAGAAGAGGCGATCTCTCTGGACCTCTGCTTTCCCCTCTGCAAAATGGGCTCTCAGGCCCTTGACTAACTCAGCTTGCCCTGTTAACTCTGGTTCCATGCAAGGGGCCATCCCCCTCACTTTGCCAAGAGGGCAGCTGAGGCCCAGACAGAGGGGAGTCGCGAAGGTAGTTAATAGCAGAGCCAAACTTTGGGAGGCCTGTCAGCATTCAGTTCACAGAACACAGATTTAGATCTGCCAAGGGCCCTGGGTCATTCCAGGTGAGGTGCCACCCACAGGGCTCAGGCCCAGGGCTGCCTCCCACCACCCTCCACTTAGTTACTGAGTTTCGGAGGTCGGTCATTTTTTTAACTTTGGCCAACAGGTCGCACAGCCTGGGTCTTTAGCAGTCACTCAGATCCAGGGTCCTCATTTTACCAGGGAGGGGCCTGAGGCCCATCTAGATAAAGTAGAGACTTGCCCTGGGACAAGTAGCTGGACATAGCACCCTCAGGCCCTTCACCTTGCTGGGTAGAGTTGAAGCACTGAGCATCTCCTTTATTTCTGCCCAGGCTCTGGAGATGAGATCTGTCGGGGGCCTGATAGCCCATTTTAGGGAGGAGAAAGTAGAGGCCCAGAGAGGCCACCTCTTCTACTGGGTCCCCACTACCCCATGTTGCTTCTGCTTTCTGCTCCTGGGGCAGCAGAAAGAGGTTGGTTTTCTGGCCTCTCTGTTCTAAGTAACAAGACCTGGGCTTTCTTCAGCCTTCCTGGACAGTATGTCCTAGCCTCGGCCCATTAGATGAGGGCAGTGTCTCCATTTAGCCCCCTTGAAGTCTGGATGCAGAATCTGGGGTTGGAAGGGGCCTGAGAGCCTGTCTGGGCCACCCCTCTCTCGTTCTCCAGATAAGGAAGCTGAGACCTGGGGAGGGGCACAAGGTTGACAGGCAGGAAGGTGGAATTTGAACCCAGGCCCTCCTGACTCCAGAGCCCACACCCTGTGCCATGCGGCTGTGTGTGAGAGGTAGGGAGACAGACAGACACTGCCTTCTGGATGGGCTTTCCCACTGCAGCCCCTGCTGGGGGATGGCCACCATCGTCCTGAAAGGTATTGTCTTTTCTTCCTGGGGAAATACAGCCCTGCGATCTGCTTTTATGCTACTGCTCCTCATACTGCTCAGGCCTGCTAGCTCCCCATGCCCCAGGCAGTGGAGGGGAGAAAGCCCTGGACTGGGAGTCTGGAAGACCCGGGTTCATATCGTGGCTCAGGCAGCTACTAGCTGTGTAACCCTCGTAAGTCATTTCACCTCCTTCTGCCTCAGTTTCCTCACCCTCAGAAAGGGTTGTTGGGAGGATGACAGGACATCACTTATGTCCTGTCACTTTAGCAAAACCTGAAAGGAAGATAATGTTGTCACAGAGTGAATCTCTTCTCCCCTAGATTGTAAGCTCTGGGAAGGCAAAGTCCTTTTTCTTGGTAACTTGGTGGCGTTTGGATTTCTGTTATTGGGGGGAGGTGTGGACACTGGTACTTGAAGTTTGCTGCCCTTTGGGTAAGTGAAATCTGGCCGGGAGTCAAACTGGCTTCTCTTGGAGGTGGCTTTTTAAGCATGGCACCTCTTCGCTTTGGCAAAGCAGGGCCTGCTGTGTTGGGGGGAGGGGGAACGACCCTGCGTCCTGGGTTCACAAGTGCTCCTAGATCTTTGGAGCTGGAAGGACCTTCTGGCCACCCCTCAGCATCCTGAGGCCCCGAGGTTAAAGTGGCCGGCCTGAGCTCCAGGGAGGGTGAGGCAGAGCCAGAGGCACCCCTAGCGGCTGCCCCACCGCCCACGGTGTGCCAGGCCCTCCGGTAAGTGCAGGGGGAGCCCTCATGGGCTCCTAGCCACTTATTAAGCCAGGTACAGCCTGGGCCCTCCAGGGGCTTACCCAGGCTGTTGGGGGTGGGAGAGAACCTGAGGCCTCAGAACAGTGAGCTTCAGTTTCCAGAGACTCTGTCAACTTGGGGGCCCTCTTTGTCGAGGACAATTCTGGAACAAGCATTTATAGTTTAGCTTTGGAGAGGGGCCTGCCTTTGGTGGGAGTGGGTGGGGGAGCTTGCTCACAGAAGGCCTAGTCACTGGGTGACTGAGTCAGGTATTCTGCTGCCGTCTCCTGGGCTCTGGGTTCTACCGGTGTTGACCTTGTGGATTCTCAGGGAGTGGCCCGAGTTGCAGCCTGGGTCTAAAGGTGGAGTTCACAGGGAGCCTTGTGTTCTGGTCAGGGAGCTTTCCCCTTAAAGCCACAGCCTCTGAAAGGCCCTCTCATCAGTGAGCCCTGCCTGTGTGGAGGGTGGGGGTCTTGTAGGGCCTTCCCCTCCGAGCCTTAGAATCACTAGGCAGTGCAGTTCACTTGGACTGGTTTGACTCTGGGTCACTGCATCTGGTCTTGTCCAGTGGAACAGGTTTGCCCAGTACGCCGTCTTGTTTTGGAACGTGATAAAAATTAGGGGTGGTGAGGAAGCAGATTATGAAACTCCTAGTAATACTCAGGGCTTCCCTCAGGCCTCTCCCAGCCCCTGCGTAGGCCCGAGGAATGTGGGGGCCACTGGTCTGGCCCAGGAAGCCCCTGGCCAGGGAGCCCTTCTCCTTTCACCACTCCTCAGAGACATTTTTGAGGTGGGAGAGGCCTTAACCAAGATTCCTTCCCCCTCATTCTGTGGATGAGGAAACTGAGGTGGGGGAGTGATCCTCCCAAGGCCAGGGCTCCTGACAGACAGTGAATGTCTCTTTCCCCACTCTTTCCCTTCGCTTGTGGTGCCTAGAGACACTCCCTCCCCCACCACTGATTCCAGGCACAGACCCTCCAAGGCCGAAGGGACCTGAGGGGTCTTTTGGTCCAGTCCCCTGCCTCTCCTCCCAGCCCCTTGAGGAGGTCTCTCTGGTTCCCTGTGCTAGATCCCTTACAAGGCCGGTGAAAGCCAATCCGACTGCAGGACCGGGCCCTCATTGTTTGTCAGAAGGCTCTTGTCTTGATCTGTGCTTTGGCCTCCCTGACCCCAGCAGGATGGCCAGGGAGGCCCATGGAGGCCGGGACCCTGGGAAGGCCAACAGCTCCCCAGTGGTGTCTGCACACAACCTTTCCCCAAAGGCAGGCAGTGGGAAAGAAAGCTACATTTGGGTTCCTTGTGAGCTGGGGCCTCTTAGGAGCCCCGGGGAGCTTGAGGTTGGTGTATGCCGTGTCTCCAAACACTATTCCTCAGTTTCCTCCTCTGTAAGGTGGGGGGATTAGACTTTTCTGAGCCTCTGGTGTGGCCAAAGAGAGGGCCCGGTCCAATCCTCTCATTTTATGGATTGCAAAACAGAGGCCAGGGGAGCGGAGACAAGAGGAGGGGCTTACTCCAGGTCACCCTGGGTGCTGTGAGGGGTGAGCCGGGAGGAGAGAGTTTCTCTTCCTTCAGGAGACAAGAGGGGGAAAGTCCACAGTGGAGGAGGC